TATTTAATTAATTATTAATAAAATCAATATTAATTTATTATTAATAAAATTAATGTAATCGTCATCTTTAAAAATATTATGACTTAATTAGGTCAAATGCTAAATCATAAAGTTACAGATAAAATTATTTATATTTTCTAACTTTTAAAATATCCCTTTTTAATTTACAACTATTTGAAAATTAAAATTGCCATGTATTCGAGAAGTATCCTGTACTGATGGCTGGCGGCAATGCCTCACTGTCCTATACAATACTGCTCTCACGAACTACTTTTCCCTCCCGCATTCCCGAATATATCTTCCTCACGTGCAATCTTTAAAAGTTCCCATTACTGCTCGGAGTACAATCCTCGTTGTATCGTCTCTACCCATTGCGCCCTGTCAGAGTTCATAGTGGTGCCGGCACTCGAGCAACGGTCTCCTTCGTCTCGGGGGTATTTTATCGTGTCGCCAGTAATAAGGTTTCCACGTGTAAGAAACCACCGAGGTGTTCCGCGATATAGGTGGTCGAGGAGCGGTACAGAAAGAGACAAAGAGGGCGGCAAGCGCGGCGATGGGGCGAAAGCGGCGGGGTATAGCGAGAAAACGAAACAGGCGGGACGCGGTGGAGTGTGCGCTCCACCATGCAGGCAACCAGAGAATCCAATCGCAATAGAGTTAAGTGTTCGGGAGTAAAACCTTGCCGAGGCACGACCTCGATTACTTGCGGAGGATTTGTTACGGCCACCTTTTCTGCCACTTTCTAGCGGGCAACCTCTCCGCTTCTTCGGCACCATAGAATCGTCCCAGAGTCTTTCTTTAGCAACGAGCCTTCCTGAAAGGCAAGCAACGTAACATGAACGTAACACTAAAGGGAGTAAAAGAACGCTTTGCTACCCGCGCCGTTGCCAGGCTTTTTTCTACTATCAAACACAAGGGACTTCCGATTGGCCGAGTTTAGTCGGCCACCAATTCTCGGCGTTGCCGTCGGATAACGTGTCGTAAAACACAAATTTTTTCGTTCGCCCTGCATGCCACGCCTTTATTGGCACTCGTTCCCATCCGTTTTTGAACGAATTGTTTGCGTTTCAATATCAAAGAAGCCTTTTGCGATGGAAATTCAAGAGATACGCGTTTGATGAATAAGCGGACAATGTTCATTGAGATTTGCTTTATCTAATTCCACATTGATGTATACTGATAAAAATGATATCTTAATACTGAAATTTTCCTCTGTTTTTTTTTTTAAGAGATTTAACATATCAATTAATGATTTACAGAGATACGAGTGTTAATCTATTGTTGATATTTGCAGAACGATTAATAAGCTTTGAACTTTGGTATTCGATCGGATAACCTAGTTACTAATTTTATTAACTTTACTTATATGATGGAAACTTATAATTATCGAATATTAAATTAACGTAGTTTTAAATAAACAAAACATGTTAATAGAATAGAAATAAAAATAGTAAATACAAAGGTTGACAAAATCATCGTTTTAAATTAAAGATTTCTGACAAGACTGAAGAATTACTCTATGCGTCAACTATTAGAACTGATTAGAACTTTATAATCATAAAAATAGATTATGATTTTAGTCGAATTGATAGAGAAATGATATAAATAAAATTATATATAGTGTTTATTATTTTTAAAGTCTGTTATCAAAATATTATCTGCTACTATATATACGTTTATACTTATGAGATATTGTACGCGGCACATGATTTGTTTGTTCCTAAAAAACAATGATTCATATCGTTGGCGATAAAAATTGTTTTAATTATATAATAGAAAATTATGTTGCTAATAAATATAATAATAAAACATTATTTCTATGTTGCTGGTACAGTAGAATTATAATATTAGTTATTAAATCATTAAACTCATAAACATTTAGAAAAGTAAAAATTCTTTATCATAGAAGATAAATAAGTTTGAAAAACAACTAAATAATTATATGGTATACAAAATTTTTCAAATTAAATTACAAATATAATTAAATTAAATTAAATTATTGATTTGAAAGAAGAAAAGATTGCGTAATATATAATGCGAAGCTTTAAGCAAAATTACTTTTTATTGGAAATATTACAGATATTTTGCGATTTTGAGTATTCACAAATTAATGACCGGTATAAACTACCATAATATAGCTGCTTTTTGCAGCATCTTGCAATTCTGTCAAGATTCCAAAATGCGTCTTTATATATACGCGTTTTGCATCCGTTATTGCGTACTGGTTGGTAAAGCTATGATCGGAGTACCGGGATTACTCGCGGGATTCTGCCCGGCGGCAAAAGCCGCCTTAATGCAATTCCGAACACATTTTCTTAGTTGGTTCTTCTTGTTTTACTGTGAAAATCCTCGAGGCCGTTACGTTGGTAACGATAGAACCGGCACAGCAGGCCGTTACCGCCACATGCCGCCATAATATCGGACAAAAGTTTTCTGGCCAGCAGGAGAAAATAATTTGATATGACTCGTCGTTGTGCAGGTGGAACTTCGAAGGAAACGAAGATCCTCCAAAGTACAATTATGAAGCCAATACGCTATTGCCAATTAAACATAGTGTTGCGATACAGAAAGTTTCAAGACGTATTTTTTCTTAAAAAAAAATTCATTTAACAACTGTTTTTATGACACAAAAACTAATTTTTGTAAAAATTATTATAATATAATATTATTTACAATTTACCATAGAAATTTAAAAGGAGCTTTCCTTTTTTCGAAGCGTGAAAACAAAATTATTTTTCTGAGCTCTTTTTGAAAAAACTACACGTTTATATTATTAACAACAACAAAATAATCTACTACAGAAAACTTTTAGTAGAAAATTTTTTAAATCAGACTCCTTTAATTAAAATAAATAAGAAAAAATCAGGCCATAGGAGTCAACATTGCGCAAGTTATTAGTAAAGCGGAATTATTCACAGACAATTTTAATCTAGAACGTTTCGACTCTCGGTTTGAGTCATCTTCAACTAATCATAGTTAAAAAATTATTTAAATTAAAATGATTTCACGCATTGCAATAGTATCACATCGCCAACATCTGAAGTGCATCGGACAATGTTCAACAAGTTAGAGTATGAGGCCCTGAGCAATCGTCCAACACAGTTGCACAGCTGGGTTGAGAAAATTCTTCAGCCCATATCTCCAACATGTTCACAATTTTTATAATAAATTATTAATTAGTGTTATATAATAAGTGTTGACTCCTATGGCCTGATTTTTTTGTATTTATATTATTAAGTTTTTATAATTAAGAGAATAATAACAAAAATTTACACATTTCTGGTGTAAAAATTTTAAACAAGGCTAAAATGAAAAATTATGATATTTTTGTAAATTATTCGTTTAAAATATATAAATTTTTCTGATATTAATATTTATCATATGTCTTAACAACAAAACCGAGAAAATAAAGACACTTCTGTTATTCAAATTATTATATTAAACTATTATCTATTTCTTCATGTGGCAATAAATGAAATTTATGATAAATAAATATCATCATTTGTTTTCTTTATGCTCATATGATTGGCGCAATTTTACGCTCGATATGTATAAGATTAAAAAAAAGTTAAAAGAAAAAAGAGAGAGGAAGCAAAATCATAAAATCGCATTAAACCTTTTGCAAATCTATATCCTAAAGAGAGCTATATTACAAGAAAGAAAGTATAGTTTGCGCTCCATATTGAGTGGAAAAGTTAAGAGATCGCGCTCCTCCGCGCCTTTACACTTCTTCCCCTTTGTCTCTTTCTTTTCCCTTTCTCTTACTCTTTTGCAGCCTCTTTGTCTGCAACCCTCAAAGACGCTCGTTTAAGCGTCCGATTTCTCCTCATTCTCTTTCTAGAGGTCTCTCTCTCTCTCTCATCCTATCTCACTTATTCTTCTCACGATTTCCCATTACGACGCGCCAATGGTGAGTTCCGAGGCTTATTAAATTGTAACAATTTTAATTAGGGAAGCACCGGCCCTTACACTCTCCCTTCTCCCGTTTTTGCAGTTTTGTTTTCTTTGTGTCTAAAAGTACCTATCTCACAATTAAAGATATTCTTTTCATCTCCAGTATAAAAAAATTAGATACCAACTCAGGCATCCTTTAATTTCTTGTTTTAAATTAGTACCACCTGCGTAACATTATCGTTTTTTTATATTTATTAAATATAGGCACAAATGCCATTCATTGCATATAGATTTCTTATAATCGGAGAGTTTAAGCATACTAACAAAAAATGTAACGATGATGCTCGAGCTTTTTTTACTGAGAGAATTTGGAATCATTTCATCTTTCAAAACAGTGACATTGTTGTGAAAAATGAGAATATTAGAAATTATTGATTAGAAAGAATTTCAGAATGGTAACGTGAATATGATTCGACATTACGGACTTTGAATTGACTCTTGATAAATTAAAGTGCAAGACAATAAAGTATTTAAATTTGTATTTTTTGCAACTAAAGCATATTCTTTAAAGACATATCTCTTTCTTCTTTTACAAATAAATTTTCTACATATTTATATTGCTAAGCTGAATATTACTATTAAATTTAATTAAAGTATATAAATTTTTTAACATTACATGAGCTGTAGGTACTAACTCCACATATAGACGGCTTGCATAGAAACAATGTGAATACCTGATGCATGTACTGTTATCAACAAATTACCTTGTTGTGGCATAAAAGTAATTTTAATAAAGTACATGCAAAACAGAAATAAGTAGTTGAAGAAGAAAATTATCTATTACATTATGAAAGGAATATTAAGGAAATTCTATTGGACTAAAGACTAATGTTTATTAGGTATCGCTTTAAAGTCAAAGCGATGGAAGAAGTGATATAAGAATCTTATATCGGCATTTGAGACTTTAGCATTTTATTTCGATCTTTATATATATATATATATATAGTACATAAAAGAATTAAAATAATTTATTTATTATATTGTAAAGAAAGATAATTATTTATAATTATTAAAGAAATAATTGTTTAATTCAAGAATTACTTTGTTTTATTGTTCTCATCATATCAGCATCAACATCATATAATAACGACATAAAAAAACATATATTTAAAATATGCGCTTAAAATATGACATTATATATTTTAATATGTGGGAACTTAAAACCAAATATTCTAGCAGAAAATTTTTTCAGTCCCGTAAGTTCCCATCCATTTTCTTTGGCCTTCGTCACAAAATTTTTAAAAGTTTGATTTACACACAGATCATTGATTAATTTCTGCATTTCTGGAGATTTTAGTTTCCCGATGAAATCGGCAAAGACCTTGGAATTCTGCAATTTCTCATTGTAAAGAGCTTCAATCTTGTCAAAAGGTATTAAATTATAAAGATCTTCCAACAATCCTTTTATCCCATCACCGATCTTTTGTATTCCAATTTTAGATTTGAAAATGCTTTCTATTTTAGGCGGCACATAATCCTCCATACCAATAGCCTTATGGAATGTTTTGATGTAATCAGTAACGTTCAATCCTGCTTTCTCCAGATATACTACTAATGCTTGATATTCTTTAAGAGCTTCAAGATCGCACAGACTGGAATGGAATTCTGGTGTCTGCAAGTATTGCAGAGAGTGCTGTACTTTTTCATCTTCGACTATATACTTTAAGGCTAACTTAATAAACTGATCTATCGGAAGACTATTCACAAAATCCATCAAATCGTCTTCCAACGTACGCTCTTGGTAAACAGTAACATCGTTCGGTACGTTAAGGCCGAGGACTATAAACATGATGTCAGCTGAAATCTGCGTATTCACTCCCCTGATTTTGAGTCCATTCAAAATGGTCTGCAAGGATTTAATTTGATAAGCTTTGTTTACGACTTGCTGGGCATTATCTGACTTGAGTTGGTTGACAAAACCGACGAAAGCTGAAGAAGTTTTCATCTTTTGCACGTAAATACGAATGATCTTGGCAGTAGGAATCACATCCGTAATATCTTTGACAAGTCCTACAATCCCACCAGTCCTCTGTATGACCAGGGAATACAAACGAGAAGGAGGTGGTGCGATCTCGTCGATACCGAGAGCTTTGTTAGCTTTGTTTACTAATGAATAAATATCGACGCCTTCCTTTTGCATATAATTTAGAATGTTAATCACTTCAGGAATAGCTTCCAAATCTAACATCAGGTTTTTTAATAAGGTCGAATTTAGAAAAAAATTAAAAACTTCTTGTACTTCCGAATCTCCTGATATATAATCCAAAACAATGCTTCGAATTTCTTGATAAGGAACTAAGTCCAAAATGTCCTGGATATCCTCATGAAGAGCACCTTCGCCAAAGTCCGGGAACTGATGAGCTTGTCCCAGACCGATAATGGTCAAGGCGGCAAATAGCGCTGATATATACTTCATCTATAATATATTCATGTGTAAGGAGTTAGTATTATATAAGTACGTTACAATTAATTTTTTGTACCAAAATTTAACATTTTGTGTGTATAAATTTTGACGTAAAAAAAGAATTATTTTGAAAAACATTATTTTTTAAATTATAATTGTTTTATTTATGATGTACGTAATATTTGACAAAGTAAATAATAAAAAGAAATAATAATTATTATTTAATTAAGATGTTTTTCATAATTATTATGCAATTTGTTTTTGTTAAAAAATGTAATTTTATTTATCTATTCATGCATATATGATCTTTTTATAAGAGATTATGTTTTTACTTACCATGACAGCTGTTGATAAGCACAAAGACATTCGAATACCTAAAGTACCTAGCTAGTTAGCACAGATTTATATATCAAAGTTATCTTAAATCTTGTTAGAAAAGTCAGTTAATAAAGGATTAGATAAGATAATTTCAATGTTGGAAAAGTGCAGATTGCTCGGAAATTAATGCATAACAAGTCTAATTAAATATCATATTATTTACTTTGTTGTACACAATTTTTTACTTAATAACAAGACATTTTATTAGAAGTTATATTTATAGAATTTGTAGAAAATTTTTGTTGTATTAAAACAATTCTAATAGCGTAATTTCACATTTACCGTAATAAATTTATATATTTTATTTTTTATAGAAAAGTTATCGATTATTTTGATATTACTTATTTTTAATTTAATTTCACTATAAATTATAAATTCTGTAGGAAAAATATTGTTGTTATTTAGCAAAATGAGATCAATACTCGTTATTATAAATTTTTCATTTTATTATTTTAATAATTATATAATGTTCTCGACAAATCTGATGTTTATGTATTCCATACTTTTTACAACATGAAATTCTATACCATTTATTAATAACACAAAGCATAGTAATGTTATGAAGGCATATCGTATTTTTAATTCTTTTTATTATATGTCAAACAAATATTATCAATAACAGATGTTTTACTTTTTATTTTTAATGATCGCTATGTTGTTATAAAGTGCAGATAAATATATTCCTTCGAATGAAATGTTTTTAAACGTTATCTCTTTTTTGGGTAATCCTTGTTTAATAATGAGAAATAAGAAAGTTGTTATCAATGATAAATTGTTTTGAGTACATATTCTGACAAATTTGATATGAATCACAGCATGTTTAACATCAACGTCCGAAAAAAAGAAACATGACTTAAATACATCATAATATAAAATGTAAAAAGTAGGAATATATTATTTTTTCTCTGTGAAGAAAATGTAATCTATGATTTTAAAATAAAGACTAGACAAATAAAACAATTCATCAATCATCACTCATAATAAGATATAGCACAAATTAAAGAGATAACATAAATTATTAAATACAACTATATTAGTAAAAGATAGACATATAATAACAGAAAATAAAAATTGTAAGGTAAATAAATAAAAATATTAAAATATATAAGTAATAAAATTTTAAAAAATATTAAGACTGAAATATTCTTTAAAGTCAATTATTTATATAAAAATGCATATTGAAATATCCTGTTAATCCAAATAAATGCAAATATAAATTTTACAAATATTTATCATATTTAGAAGCAGAGTTGTGTTATATTCAATTTTTATTATTTCTTATTTTATGTATGTATGTATATACGTATATGATATATCTGGAAGGCTAATCAAATTCGTCTAAAAGCTTATCAAATAATTCCTAAATTTTCGTACGAATCAATATCTCAATCTAATCGCAGTTTCTTATCTAATTTCCTAATCTTTCGTACAGTTCGAGTATATAAATGTACGATAAATTATTCACATTCGCAATCTGCATTTACAACTGTCACGGTAAGTCAACTGTAACGTTTCTTCATACGTCTTACATGTACATTGAGAATTTTAAGAAGTTATAGATATCTATGCAATTAAATAATGATCCTTTTTATTTTTAGCTTTATTCAACCAATCAATCTATAGTTTAGTACAGATTTCATTTTTAATAAAAATTTAATCATATAGATTTCTTCTTTTAACAAATTCTTATAATTAATAAAATATATACCTTTGTATTTTTAATTTTATTTTTTGTGTTGTATTTACTTTGTTTTATTTTTAATTTAATATTTAATTTAATAATTTATTCAAGAAAAATCTAGTTAAAGTTAAATAAGATGGAGAAATAAAGAGTATACATCTTTGTATTTTTAATTATATTCCTTATATTGTATTTTTTCGTATTGTAATTTTCAATTTAATCTATTTTGTTCAAGAAAAATCTAATTAAAATTAAATAAAGCTAAAAAAAAGAAAAATATATTTAAAACATATAATTTTTTGTTATATATTATTATTTTTAAATTTTTATCTTAATTTGCAAAAAGATTTATTATAATAAAAAATTTTTAAACTTTGATTTATTCATATGTAAGATAAAAATTATGAGTATTATCACGTAATCTTAACAAAGTAATAATTATTATGTATATCATTTATTTTTTATATGTAATCGCAAGTACTTTGTGTATGAAAATTAATCATTAATGGAAAAAACATTGATATATTTTTCAAAAGTAATGCTTTTTATTGCATCATAGTTATACATATTAAAAGATAGTTGTGCAATACGCTCAATATTAATTTACAGATGAAATTCACATTAAGGCTGTTTGCTATCTTGGCCATTATCGGTCTGGGACAAGCTCATCAGTTCCCGAACTTTGGCGAAGGTCCTCTTCATGAGGATTTACAAGACATTCTAGATTTATTTCCTCTGGAAAAAGTTATCGATGATGTTGTGTACTATGTGATGCATGATAATGAAATACAAGAGATATTTAATGACATTCAACAAAATACACCTGTAATCAAAGATATGCTGATAAACATCGTAAGCATTCCCGAAGTGCTCAAGTTATTTAACTATCTGCATAATGAAGGCATCAATATCTTTCACATAATGGACATGATTAACAAAGCACATGATATTGAGGAACTCGTACCATCTAGCTCTCAAACATATTCTATAATGAGGAAGACCGATGGACTCCGCGGATTGATCAATAACATCAAGAAACATATTGATTATGATGTCTTTATTAGCATATTTGCGGATAAATTAAAAACCTCTACAGCCTTTGTCAGCTTCATTAACCAACTTAAATCCAACAATTTCCAACTGATTATTAATAAAATTTATAAAATTGAGACCTTTCAGTTGATCCCAAGTTATCTTGAGGTCAAATCAGTGAGTTTAAAAATTGTGGAAGATATCATGTATCTCGTTCTCGGCATCAAGGTACCAAGTCTTCCCTCTAAAACGATAATATCAGAACTAAAAGATTTCATCCATCTTATTCCGATAGAAAAGTTTCTCAGCATAATAGTCCAGTATGTAAATGAAGACGAAAAAGTACAAAAAGCTGTACTGTTCATATTCAAAACTGAGTTCCATGATCTGCTGCGCGCTCTCGAAGCTCTTAAGGAATATCAAGCATTCATGGTATATTTAGAAAAGACTGGGCTCCCTGTTATTGAATCTATTCAAGAATTGCATCATGCTATCGGCATGGAAAAATATGTGCCACCCAAAATAAAGAATTTTCTCATGTCTCTAAGTAAGATACAGAAGATCAGTGATGGAATGGAAGGGCTGCTCAAGGATCTTTATGATGTATTACCTTTGGACAAAATTGACGCTCTTTACAGAAAAAAGTTAAAGATTTCCAAAGTCTTTATTGATTTCATCACAAAAATTACGTCCAAAGAAATGAAGGAAATCATCAAAAATCTAACCGCTCATGAAACTTATAAGTTGTTTATCACGAGAACCAATGAAGTGGGATTGGATGTGGAAGGATCAACAAATCTTAGTAACAGAATAATTGGTCTTAATACCCCCCTATACTAAAATCAATGTTTATAGTTTGAACACTTGCAATTAATAATTCATTTTAAATTAACGCTAATATAATAACGTAACATAAAAGTTATTAATTCAATAATTATTTCTTCAAAACTGATAAATTAAACAACTTCTTTATAATAAACACTTTTATTTCATTTTTTTCCTTCTTTCACAGGCTTCTGAATATAAATAAATACTAACAGAGAAAGAGAAAAACCGATAAATATAGACGTAGAGATAGACTGAATAGAAGATAGAGAGAGAGAAAGTTTTTTCATATTTTGTCGACTGACTTTAATATCTTTAATAGTTTTAATTTTTATTTAATTTATATGTTTATAGATCATAATATACAAAAAGATATAGGATGTTTTTAGCGCGTAATACGTTTAAGGATATACAAATATATCCTTAAACGTATTTTCTAAATCAAGATCATTCCTTATACGTTCCGTATTATAAACTGTACATGAATAACGTTTCAACTTCGATAAAAAAAGCAAACAATATATAACAATTCTTATTTTTACCTATTATGTTTCTTCACGTAATCAATTAAATTAAAATGTGTTAATATAACTTATCTTTTAACTGGTACGACATAATCGCATTAATGATTAAAAAATAAAACTTAGAAAAACCGATATATTTATGTAAGTGATATTATTAAGAATATTATCTTTACAATTATTTTTTTATTAGCATAGTTTTGTCTCATAGTTTTATCTAAATAAAAATATTTAAACCATTATAAACAGATAAGTGTAGATGTTCTCTCTCTCTCTCTCTCTCTCTCTCTCTCTCTCTCTCTCTCTCTCTCTTTCTCAAGATATAATATTCACATTGTATAATTATTCATTATCTTTCTAAAGAGGTTAAAACTATATAATTATACTAATATTTACTAATACTAATAGTATTAATAGTACCAATATTTGTTGCGAAATGTTCAAATTATTTTGAAAAGTCTTCCGTCTATCATAAACAAAATATGTATTCTATTAGCATGATATTTGAAGAAACCTGGTAGTCGATTTCTTCTATCGTTCTAATCTTATATTTATAAGAATGTGATTGCACCAACGGAATAAATTTCAAAATAGAAAGTGCAAAAACGGCAATATGCAGAATTCATAGCTATCCTCTTTCGCACACTCAGAGCCATCTAAATGATTCACGTCATTTGCCTAATACGAACGAATAATTCATCGCCAGATTTCAGCGAATAAATGCGAATAACTTTTCTAAGGAACTGGAAGAATTAGATCTATTATAATCGCGATAATAAAATACCCGATAGAAATCTATTTAAATACATAATCCACACAGAGAGAAAAATGTTTGGTATTTGTAACTATAATTATATATTACTATAATTATTATTATAGTAGTAATAATCATAATTATAGTAATATATAATTATAGTTACAAATACCAAACATTTTTCTCTCTGTGCATCCTCGATTAAAATATTATGCT